TCAAAAATACTGACTAGCAATGATATCAGTTGGAAGACTAAGGTGTTCCTGATTCATGCCATGGTCTTAATCACTAGCTACACTGATGAGAACTGGACAATGAATAAGGATGATAGAAGATGAAACTATTATTTTGGTGCTGAAGAAGAGTACTGAATGTCCCATGGACTGCCAAAAGAATGAACATGTATGTCTTGGATAAGGCACAGTGAGAGTGCTCCGTGGAGACAAGAATGGCAAAGCTCTGCATCTCATAGTTCAGATATGTTTCTAGGAGAGGCTATTTGTTGGAATAGGTGAAGGTTCAGGAAAACAGAAGAAGACCCCCAGTGAGATGGAGTGATAAGAAGGTGACAGCAGCAATGGGCTCATGTGTGTCAGAGATGGTGAGGGTGGCACAGGATAGTGCAGGATTCAAATATGTTGTTCTGAAGGTGGCTATGAGTCATATTTTACTTTATGGCACCTAACAACAACAATTATTTCATAGGGAGCTCTGATGGCTTAGTGGTAAGGAATTGAGCTGCTAATGCAAAGATGTTGTTGTTGTCGTAAGGTGTCATTGAGTCAAGTACAACTCACAGTGACCTATGAACAAAATAACTGAACCTTGCCGTATCCTGTGCCATCCTCACAACCTATGACGCAGTTAAGCCCACTGATGCAGTGACAGTGTCAACTACTTGGTTGAAGATCTTCTTCCCCTTTCTCATCCCTCCATCTTTCCAAGCATGATGTCATCCTCGAAGGAATAACATCTCCTTGCAACATGTCCAAAGTATGTGAGTCAAAACCTCATCATCTTTGCCTCCAAGGAGTGCTCTGGTTGCACCATCTTCAAGAAATATCTGTTTATTCTTTTGACAGTCCATGGGATACTCAGCACTGGCTTCCAACATCACAATTAAAAAGTATTCACTCTTCTGTCATCCTTGTTCATTGTCCAGCACTTGCAAGTGATTAAATGTCCCTGGTTTTAATCAAGTACACTTTAGTCCTCAAACTGGAATCATTGTTCGTCAATAGTTTGGAGAGGTTCCTAACTACAGACTTTCCCACTGCAATATGTCTCCTGATCTCCTGATGGCTAGTATAAAGCGCATTGATTGTGGATCCAGATAAGAGGAAGTCACTGACAGTTTCAATATTTTTTATATTGCCTTTTTGTCCAGTGGCATGGATTTTTGTTTTATCATAGTTGAGATGCAATCCTTATTGCAATTTTTTATCTTTTCCATCAAGTATTTCAAGCCCTCCTCACTTTTAGCAAGCAAGGTGTGTCATCTATATTATGAAGGTTATTGATGAGTCTTCCTCCAATCCTCATGTCACATTTCTCTTTATAGAGTCCAGCTTCTCAAATAATCTGCAGCAAACAGATTGAATAGGTATGAAGAAGGGATACAATCCTGATTCACACCTTTCCTGATTTTAAACCATGCAATAGTCCCTTGTTCTGTTTGCACATCAGCCTTTTGGTCTAGGTATAGGTTTTGCATGAGTACAATTAAGTATTTTGGAATTCCCATTCTTCTAATGGTTAGACATTATTTGTTACGATCCATAGTCAATTGCCTTTGCATAGTCAATAAAGCACAAATAGAAATTCTTCCAATATCCTTTCTTTTCTGCCAGGATTCATCTGCTATCAGCAATGATATCCTTGGTGCCACAGCCCCTCCTAAATCCAGCTTAAATGTCTGGGCGTTCCCTATGTACTGTTGTAGATGTTTATAATAATCCTAAGAAGTATTCTGCTTCTATTTTATATTAATGACATTGTTCTATAATTTCCACAATCTGATGGATCTCCTGTCTTGGGAATGGGAACAAACATGGATCTCTTTCATTCAGAAGGCAAGGCCACCGACCTCCTAATTTCCTGGCATAGACTGATGAGAATGTCCAGGGCTGCATCTGTTATTTGATACATTTCTATGAGTATCCCATTGTTTTCTGGAGCCTTATTTCTTGCCAATGCCTTCAGGGCAATGTGTACTTCTTCCTTCATTACTTCTTGATCATATTGTACCTCCAGAAATATTTCCGTGTCAGTCAATTCTTTTTTTTAATATTTTTTATTATTATTAATTTTAATGAAAATTTACACTTTGAATTTCCATTCATTCATTGTTGTACTTTTCTTCCTGCCCACCTCTCCTCCCCAGTTCACTCTTTTCTTTGAAAAGTAAAAGAAAAATTCTTAGAGCAATGCAAGAGCAGAATAAGACACAGATATCCTCACCAACTCCTGACTCTGAGGGGGCACCTAGGCTAAACACAGAGATAACACTAGACACTTTGGTCAGAGGATAGTCTAGGAGGCGGAACTGCAAAAAGAAAGAACTTGGCAGAAAGTGTCTGAATGACTGAGGAAAATTTTTTCATTTAAATTAAGGAAAAACTAATAACTTAAGGCACTGAAGTGACACTAACTAAACAGCTTTTTAAGATTTTTTAAATTGTGCATAGGTTTGCTTAAAAAAATTTGTAAACATTGTGCTTCACACTATCCTTAATTCACATTGTGTTTCATACAATCACTCCGATTCATTATATTTTATAAAATAAATCAACATTAGACTAAAAAAAAGAAAGAAAAATTCTTTCATTGTTATACAATCCCTCCCCCCCAAGTCCACTCCACTATGCAGCTATCATTCTGGACTCCTGTCATGACAATAATACACAATCATATATCCCTTTTAAATGTTTCAATCTGTTTCAATGTCTCATCTGTTTCAATGCAATATACATAATTTATCCCATCTTTTTTGTCTCCCCCCAACCCTGATATCTGTCCCTTTTCACAACGGTGGCACTATGCAGTATTTGTCCTTTTGTGACTGAGATATTTTCATTCAGCATAATGTCTTCCAGGGTCACCCAATTTGCATAATATTGCATGAGTTCCTTGTTTTTCAATGCTGTGTAGTATTCCATTGTGTGATTATACCAGAGCTTCTCTATCCATTCATCTTTTGATGGGTACTTAGGTTGTTTCCAGATCTTTGCTATTGTGAACAAACCTGCAATAAACATGGGTGTGCATATATCTTATCTTGGGTGATGATTATGGTTTCTTAAGGGTATATTACCAGTAGTGGAATTACTGGGACAAATGGTTTTTGTGTTTGCAAATTTTTGAGAAAGTGTCATACAACCTTCTGTAGTGGCACTATTTTACACTCTCACCAACAGTAAATAAGGGTTCCTGTTTATCCACAACTTCCCCCGCATTTGATGTTTGCTGTTCTATTTAAATTTTGCTATTCTTATTGGTGTGAAATGATATCTTATAGTTGTTTGATTTGCATTTTTTTTTAGAGCTAGGGATTTTGAACATTTCTTCATGTGCTTGTTGGCCATCTGAATGTCTTCTTTGATGAATTGTCTGTTCATATCCTGGGCTCATTTTTTAATTGGGGAAGAATACTTTTTTAGAAAAAGTAAACTGGGAGGGGTTAGGGAGGAAAAGGTGCAACAATGAATGAATGGAAATCCAACTTTTCTATAAACTTTCATTAAAAAGATGTGCATTGCAATTAACATTCTGGAATGAGATACACATTACAGATTAAATAAAATGAGAGAAGGGGAAGAAAAGAGGAGAGAGAAAGAACAATGGAGGTAGGTGATGGTATCCAGTCAGAGTTTGCTTTAACATTGTAAAAAATGAATTGCCACAATCAATAGTAATTAATGGCTATGAATGATATTTGTAAAAACCAATGTGATTTGTAAACTTTCATCTTTCATTCACATTTTTAAAAGATATATTAATTAAAAAACTATAAAGTCGGGAGGATCTCACAAGCTGTGCAACAGCAACAAATGTAACTGACATATATAGTGACTATATATATATATATATATAGTGCTACTATCACTATGAGCTGTAATTGGCTCAGGAAGTTGGGTAAAAATATTTAAAACACACACACACACACACACACACACCCCAAATTGACATGCATAAAATTGTGTACTTATTTGTGACTACTCAAATTTCAGGGTAAAAATGATTTGTCTAACATAGGTGATAGCTTACCCAACTGCTTACATACTGTATTAGCAATATTGCTGTTTTTCAAGCTAAAAATATTACTCATTATTCTTCTACTTCATCTCAAAACATATTAAAGTATTTTCAAACAAATACAAAATTAGACCTAAGTGAACTTAAACAAAGAATACAAGGTTCAGAGGTGAAATTGGTCATAAAATTTTAAAGAAATCATGATCATTTATTCCTATCTTTTATCTCTGCTTTGAATAACAAGTTGTGCTGTCAATCCAAAATGAGCAATTTCAATTCACCAGTGACTCAGTGAGAGAAAGATAGGCCATCTCTTCCCACAAAATGTTTAGCCTCTGAAAACCCTCTAGAGAATCAGCTCTAAGTTGATTCTGACTTGACAGCCTTGCATGAGTGAGTGAGTCTCTTATTTTTGTTTCATTGTTCCTGTAACAGAATAACTTATTGCATAGAAGATATGGGCCAATCACCAAGATAAACACAATCACATATATATCTATAAGGGGTTTTTTTCAACATGACTTCAGTGTGAAAATACAATCTGAAGGATTCTGATTTATTCTAGGTCACTTGTCATTCCCTAGATTTGTCATTCCTATGCCATGTGTTAGAATCAACTCATTGCTGATCCTCCAGTAAGTTTTCATAGGGTGTAAACTGCATGGGCAAAGACTGCTTATCTTTCTCCCTTGGAGCCACTGGTGGATTTGAAGTGCCTTTCAGTAAGTATTGAAATTCCCTACAATTACTAAATTTTATCAATAAATTAAGTCTTCCTAGGACAAAGTGTTACATAAAAATAATAATATTTTGAGGATTTAATATGTGCACTAAGGTAGTATTCTGTTTTCATCCATTAACTCATTTAAAGCAACCATGAATAGTAACTTTAAGACACCTACTTAGATTTATATATAATTTACTCATTTTCTTGATTAATGTTAATAAAAATAACTATTACCTTTTCCAAATAGATTCTCACATCGTTCATCAAGATCATGGCAGAGTCCATCATAACACAGATATTTGTTATTTTTGCAAGAATGTCCATTGATGATAGTTATATCAGGTTCACAAGCTGATGAAGATCCATTACAAAACTCAGCAATGTCACATTCAGGATGTGCTCTAGGCCTACATTCCAAACCTGCACTTGCAATCTAATGAAAATTAGAATATTTTTTAAAAATACAGTGTTATATGCAAGACCATTAGGTGTATCAGTATTTCAAAATTTTATCAATGTATACTTTTTCCCCCCAGAGGATAGCACGAATGCAGTCTCACTATGCAATCAAGTTTCCCATACATGGGGAAATTGCAGAGGTCAGGACATGGATATGCCTGCTGTTGTTGCTGTTAGGTGTCACCAAGTCTAGTACAATTCATAGAGATCCTATGAGAAAAAGATCTGAACCCTGTTCTATTCTGTACTGTCCTTACACTTCCTGACATATAAGAGCCCTTTGCAGTAGTCATCATTCCTGCCTCCAAAGAGCACTCTGGCTGCACTCTCTCCAAGACTTGTCACTTTGTTCTCTTGGTTGTCCATGGGATGTTCAGTGCCCTTCCCCAACACCACAGCTCAATGACATAAATTCTTTTTCTGTCATTCTTATTTATTGTCCAACTCTCAGATTCTCAGATGCTTAGAAGGAGAAAGACCATGTTCTGAATCAGATGCACCTAGCCTAGCCCTAGGGGGGGAAAAACACCCTTATGATCACAGCATTTCCTCTGTCAGGTAAGTATTCAACTTATACTTTTCTGGTTTACTTATGAATATTTACTGAATATAACTTTGTGTAAAGCATATGTGAATCATTATTAAAAATAAATGTTAACATCAGTGAAAACAAGATGCATAAATGAGAAAAAAGTACAAATGTGTGATGAAAACTATAGTTTTGATTGTGCTTTCATAAAAATAGAAAAAAACACAGCTTTTTGCTTGGAAAAATTATTCCTTCTTGGTGAAAATTATGGTGGTGGTATACCATCAGGTCATAACACACCGATAGGTGACACTCTAGCAGGCTTACAGAAGCAGTATATCACCCAACAGGAGATTGTCCATCTTTCTCTTACGGAGCACCTGCTGGATTTGAACCATCTGTCTTTGTGTTGGCAATGCAATTCCTTACCACTAAGCCATCAGAGTTTCTGAATGAAAATAATGGAATACAATCAATTTCTGAGTAAAATACACCAATGTATTTGCAACTACTTGCTATGCATCAGAGAACTGGACAATGACTAAGGATTAAAGAAAAATAATTGATGTCTTCGAGATGTGATCCTGGACTGCCAATAGAACAAACAAGTCTGTCTTGGAGAGGGTGAAACTAAGTTGCTACTTGAAGGCAAGGATTTTGAAGATTCATCTCACATCTTTTGGGCACACTTCCAGGAGGGAGCAGTCTTTGGAAAAAGACATTGTGCTTAGAAGGGTGGAGGAACAGCTCAGGAGAGGAAGACCTGGATGAGACAGAGTGACACAGTAACTGGAGTAATGTGGGTAGGTTTGTTTGGAGATAGTGAGACTGGCAGGGTTCAGAGCTATTGTACATGGGTTTGCTATGAGTCACAGTTGACTCAATGACACATAAAAACAACAACAAATGTTAAATGCAAAGAATTGAGAAAGTCACACCCACCAAAAAATAAAACCCACCACTGCTGAACTAATTTTTATTCATAAAGACCCTGTAGGATGGAGTAGAACTATCCAATAGGGTTTTCAAGGCTGTAACTCTTTACAGAAGCAGACTCCCACATCTTTGTCCTATTGAGCAACTGGTGAACTCAATCTACCAAACTTTTCAGTTAGTGCTTAAGTTATCAATGCACCAACATAGCTCCTGAATAAAACACATAGAAGAAAATAAAAGGGTGATTGAGGAGCAGTTAAATTATAGGTTTGGGAAAGGATATAATTTAATTGTAATCTTTATCTTCAATTATATGATAACTAACTTTTCTGTATACAGATTATAAAATTCATATTAGGAATTTTAAATATCTCTGTTATACTTTTTAATAGATGATAGTTGATACAATGCTTAGCTAAACTTCAAATGGCTTTAAACTCTTATTAATGAAAGTCAAAGAGTACAGCCTGGAGTTTGCATTACACCTGAATGTAAAGATTAAAAGAAAAATTAAAAACCTCTTAACAATTAGACTGGTTAAAAGCATCGTGATAAACAGACAAAAATGAAGTTGTCAGTTTTTAATTTTATTTGGATTAACAACAAAAGTTCATGGAAGTAGCAGTCATGAAATAAAATGAAACATTATATTGAGAAAATAGGGGGGTGGGGTGGGGAAGACCTCTTTAAAAAAACTGAAGACAAGGGGAGCTCTGGTGGCCTAGTGGCAAGGAGCTGCAACTACAATCCAAGAGGTGCACAGTTCGAATCCATCAGATGCTCTGCCGGGGAAGGAGGGACAATCTCCTCCTATACCAGTCAGATCCGATTTGATGGTACACTCACACAATAAAACAAAAACAAAAACAAAACAAAATTTAAAAAAAACAAACCTGAAGACAATGGAAATCCAAAATCTCTGTAAATATTCATTAAAATTAATAAAATAAAATTTTA